ATAATTGGAATAAGGTTTTGATGCGTGCGGACAGAGCTCGGTCGCGAGCAAAGCGACAGACTTCGATCATGATAGCAGGAGCCCTTAAGAAATAGCAATGGTGACTATTCAGGCTTCCATATTACAGAACTCTCCAGGCAACTCGGCGATTCCGAGGCCCTGGATATGTGCCTTGGTGGAATCTCCGGCCTGAACCCGAAAACCCGACACCTTCCACACTTACCTGTTGAGGCCCGGCATCCGTACATAGTGCGCAACCCGAAAGACTTCATGCACAGGCCCGCCTTCAGATTGAAGAGGAAGAAGTTGGCCTGAGTATGTCACGTCGTTTAGTACCGATGTCTTGATTGCAACTCTACGTTTGCAACACTAGCCCTAGACACTAACTCTAAAGCCACACTGTAGAGTCCTGGCAGAATAATCTTAAGGAACCATGACGGAACCCTTGAAGGGACCCTAACCCTGAACCTCGAGTCGTAAACCTTTTGACTTCCGGGTTCGTGCGAAGCCCCGCCGGAGCACCGCAGAGTGGTTCAAGGGCTTACTTAGGATTTCGGATTGGGTTGTTAGAGCTCCGGATTTCTGTAAGTGTACCTTTATTGAGGTTTCTATAGCTTTCTCGAGTGGTTCTATAAGGATCCACGGCTCAGGATTGCGTGTGCACAGGGCGTCGGATTTGGTCCTTGAGGTTTGGGTTAGGGCTAGGCGTTACGGTTTTAGGGTTCAGTGTCGAGGGTCAAGGTGTGATATGAAAAAACACCAAGAAAAGAGGCAAGGATCTGCATAAAACCCTCACACGACCTACGAATCCCTTATCAGATACCCTTTTTAAAACCGCGTATAAGCCCCATGCAACATCCGGTTGGAGACTTAACCTTCGAAGACGAGCAACCGGGTTCTTGAAGCCGTCAAGGGGCACTACGAGTTCGTAGGGGGCGTACATGACTTATACTGTATCTGGGGGGTGCTCAGGGCGTGTAGGGTTTTAGTGCTTTTTGAATACACTTTTCGGGCTGATAGGGTTTAGAGCTTAGCACTTCTGCCAGAAATGAGAGCCGTCCACAAACTCGCAAACCCATCAACAACCAAACCCTCAGCACCAAACCCATAACTCCCCCGGGCTGAAGTAGCCCCGAATCTGGAGATAAAGGGCACTTTGCAGCCTTGTAGCAGGAATCATGCCTAAGAAGCCGATGATGAGGACGAAATGCAGGACAGAGAGCTTCCACTCGTTGCCAAAATAAGCCTCTGTCTGTTCACGAAGGCTCAGAGCTTGAAGGAGTCAGTGGCTTCAGAAGCGCATAGGTCTGAAAAGAAAGTTTGGAGATTCACGAGTCAGCTTTGATCACCTCCAACTTCATATACGCCTAACAGATTTTGTCGCGTGAAACCCCTCATGTGCTCATGCAGGTGGGCGCTTCAGAAAAGCAGGGACCATCACATACACCCGAATGTCTCAGGATCCTCATTACCTGTTCTTAAGAATATGGTCTGCACCTCCTCCCAAAAGATCAAAAACGCCTCGAAGGGTACGACAATGGTCCCGACATAGACCATCATTTGAGGACTCTCAACCTTGGAGCCTTTTGAGGGAGGTCAGAGCTCCGTGTCTTGGCACCCCCAAGCCCGAAACCCCAAACCTCTTAGCACCGAAGGGCCAGGAGAAACAAGCTGAAGAAGGGCCCGGCGCCGTAGCCCAGCTGATTCACCTGAAAGTTTCCCAGCTCCCGACATCGCGGTTGCGAATTCAGGGCTCTTGGGGTTGAAGGCTCCCCGTGAAGATGGGTTCAGGGTTTAGGGTAGCTTCGGGTTTAGGGATTAGGGTTCACAAGTTGGAGGGTTGAGAGGTTCAGGATTGAGGGCTCAGGGCCTTCAAACTTGCACTGTTCGAGGCTGTGAATACTAACCTCAAGCCTTACTTCAGTAGTCAGTGAAAGAGCTCTCTCTCATGTTGGTTCACGAAAGACAAGCGATCGAAGTGATCGGAGAAGCATCGCATTTGCAATGTTGCCATGGGACAAAGATGAACGAACAAGGCAACACACTTCTCTTTGTTGTGTTGAATTTAATTCAATTTCGCCTCGCCTGTTTCTTGCCTTCATTTCAACAACATGTCTAAGCGAAACTAAGCACATAAACAACACTCTCGATTTTACCCAGCTCTTGGTTTCATCAAGCCCATAAATCTAGACCAGCGGCGATACTCACCCGCGAGAGCCACTTGGCACGTTCACCCTGTGGGATGGAATCCGTGTAGAGCGCGTTGCTGGCCGTGTTCTGCAGCGCCTTCGGCGGAATCCAGGGTGGTGTTTCAAACAGGGCCACTTCCAACAGGCTGTGATTTCCGCTTTGGGCTCCGGACTCAAAATTCGCATCGCGCTTCTGACACATTGTCACTGTAGCTGGCAACACCACAATACATCAACAACAAGGTACCTAATCCTGAACCTGCAAGCCAAGACAAGGGTTGAACTGCAGATGTTCAGCTTGCATGGTTCTGTTGGTTCAACCTTGGGGGCAATACTAGGGGCCTTCTTAAGGGCATATCAGACAAAACCCATAAGAAGCCTGAACCCCAAGGATTTACTCTCTGGAGCCCTGAGTTCGTCTCTTCCGATACGCTCTGAAACTCGATAAGCAACCAGGATCCGGAGCCAAAGAAACCCAAACCCCAAACCCCCAGTCTCAGACCCCCCAAAACTCAAACCCGAAACCCTGAGGAGCCTTAAACTCTAAACCCCAAACCCGCAAGCCAAACACCCCGCTCAATCATCAAAAAAAGACCATGACGACATCATTGGACTACAACCCAGATACAACGCATATAAAGCGACATAAAATCCTGTCAAACACTCATAGATGTTATGAAACCCTTCTCGTACCTCATTACACAACCCGTATTAAACAAAATCTGAAGTTGCAAAGCCCCGTTTAAAACCTTTCTCCGATCCCAGGCGCCGTGTAGGTCCCGAAGAGGAGTAAAGAGAGGTAAATCACGGGAAAGCTATCAAGGCTAATGCCTGTCACAGAAGGTCGAACTGCGGCTTCTGTTTGAACGCCTTTCTTCTGGGTCTCAGGCGATACTGGTTTGAGGGACCTAAAGAGCTTAGTTAAACCCTAAACCCTAAAGCCGAAGTTTCGGCTTTATGTTAGGGCAAGTCACACGCATGCGAAGCTCATTAGTCTGCAGGCGCAAGGGCCCTCCTGTGGAAACCCCGCACCGACGACTCTAGCTTCGGGTCGTATCGTTTAAATCTCACGGGGGAGCGTCCAGGGTTCAGGGGATAGAAATCAGGCTTTATCATTGCTTAGGCTCAGGGTTTTGGGTTCAGGGCCTACAAAGAAACGCCCGTGCAGCCTGCAATGGAGACGGCCACGGCCAAGACAGAAAGGACGGCGCACCAGGTCAGGATTTTGCTGCGCGAAACAGTGTCGCTCAGAATGCCGGCCGGAAAAGCTAACGCCTTAGGAGTAGCAGCAGGCCGTAGTCGTAGTCGTTGCACTAGCAGAAGCAGCAGGAGGGGGAGCGGGAGCGGGAGCAGGAGGATTCAATAGTAGCAGTAGCTGTAGCAGCAGCAGTCGCAGTTGCAGTAGCAGCAGAAGTAGCAGTAGAAAAAGCAATAGAAAAAGCCGTAGCAGTACCAGTACCAGTAGCAGTAGGAGCAGCAGCAGGAGGAGCAGTACTAGTAGCAGTGGTAGTAGTAGTAGTAGTAGTAGTAGTAGTAGTAGTAGTAGTAGTAGTAGTAGTAGTAGTAGTAGTAGTAGTAGTACTAGTAGTACTAGTAGCACTAGTAGCACTAGTAGCACTAGTAGCACTAGTAGCACTAGTAGCACTAGTGGCACTAGTAGCACTAGTAGCACTAGTAGCACTCGTAGCACTCGTAGCACTAGTAGCACTAGTAGTACTAGTACTAGTAAAGATGCTATTTGCCTCTGTAACAACAAAAACCGTTATCACCAAAATGACAGCCTCCGAGGCACAATCTGGCTGAGCCCAGAGATGGATTCTGCCCAGCCTACAGCAGTGTTGGAGTTTCCCGCCAGGATGAAGAGGTAGGTGTCGAAGAGTCCGAGTTGAGCAATGGACGAAAATATGGAAAATATGCCATTGTACCAAATCAGCTTCCAGATGTTAGCCTGTAGTTCTTCTTCTCTCGCGACTTTCTCGACGCCCTTCGCCATTGCAAGTGGCTGGGCAAGGGCAGGTGCGTTCTAAGCCAAATGCTCGATGTCGCGCTTGATGTCTGTAACTGTAGGGTCTCTTCTTACTGGCAATACAGCACAAGCAGCAGCATATGCATCTTTATCATCAAAAGCCGCAGTATCCCCAGGGCAGCTGCTGCAGTTTGCCACTACTGTCATTACCATGTCTTCCTTCGAACGATTCCCACCTGTTGCGACAAACAACTCAAATTTACAGTTGTTCTTGAAGCTATGACGATGCTAGTGAAAATTGCTGATGCCGGTGATGCTTCGGGCGACGACGACACTGATGATCGCAATGGAGGGCAAGATGATTGAGACGGAGATGTTTCTTGTGCTTGTTGCAGCTGTTGTTGTTGATGGTGACGTCGTTGGTATCGCCTTCAGTCTCGGAAGAGGATCTTGAGGAGCAGCAGCATTTGCAGACCCACTGTTGTTCGAGCCTGGTTTGCTGCTGCTTTTGCTGTCGCAAACAGGCAGCGAAAGCTGAAGGAGCGTCAGAAGCGCACTTGCTCCCTAGACCGTAGAGGCCCGAAGCGAAAAATCCCAATTACACGAAAGTGCTCACGTCGGAATCATCCCTGAACCAAGCAACTGTCAAAGGCAGGATTTTGGTTGAATCGACAGCGAGACTGGAACTACCGCAGCTGTAGTGATAGTGAGTATGGCTCGACCTATAGTCAGGATGATCAAACTAACATGAACTATAACTATAACGGCCCAGATGCAAACGACTCCTATAGAACAGTCGCAGGTGCATCCCTAAACTCTGAACCCTGAACTGTTGGCATTCGCACCTTAAGTTGCTCTTTCATCCGCTCGGGCATCTTGTCGTACGGACCTTCGGATCGTAAGAGGTTGAAGTTGCTTCGACGTCTGCCTCTTGGAGGCCTGAAGATTTAAGGTTGCAGGCTAGTAGGTTTACAGTTTACGCTTCGAAGTAGGGTTTGGGAGCTAGGGTCTAGAGCTCCGCCCCACCGAATTGCATCGGATTATGACTCAACTGCCTGAGCCCAACACGCAGGCCCTGCCCCGGCAAGTCCGCCCGGAACGCCCAAGCGGCTTCCTGGAACAGGCATGACCGGGATCCAAGGTTTCAAAGGCCGTTCAGCGCCGGATGCCAAGAAAAGCCATCCTTACCTGTCAGAAAACGTGTGCCAGGAATGCAAGAAGACTGTAAAAGGAGGAGGCGTCGAAAAGACTTGTTGTGTTATTACAACCAGGGTTCTACCATAATCCAATTCTCTATTTGGAATAAGAACCTGACCTTTTGGGACTCGAACAAACGACTAAGTCTTCAGACCTCAATGACACCTCTTCTTGAACCCGAAGCAACTTAAACTCTCCCAAACATGCTCGGCCACAACGTCCGACCCATCCGATACACCAGACAACCTCAATTCGATATTGCGATGAGCTTTACACGGGTTTTGGGTGCAGGGTCTGGGGTTTAGGATTTAATGCGGGCTTCATAAGGGTTGTTTGTACCAGGGTCGGTATATGTGCTGTGCAGTGCAGCTAATGTGCGGTTGCACCGTGTTTTAAGGATTTTGATGCGGTTTATCGGGAATTAGAACATGTTGTACGAGTGCTATACGGTTTACCCTCATGAATTTTAGACGGTGTTCCCAGATGCTTGTAAGAGCAGTTGAAAGGGGCGTTCATATTGGTCCTCCGGGATTGCATAAGCGGTTTATGAAAGGTTCTATGGGGTTCCGCGGTTCCGTGACGACTTTACCAAGGCTCTGCAAAGGTTCTATCAGTGTTTGTACCCGCTTAATGATTCTCAATGTGAAGATTCTCAAGGGCAATTCCGGAGGTGTGAATAGTGACGCCGACCGATTCAGTGTTCAGGGCTTAGCATTCTGGGTAAAGGACTTGTCAAGCCGACTTTCAAAGGACGTGCGTACCTGCTCGGATTGGTTCATGGATTTTCGGGTCCTGAAATTACCAGGAGGTTCCTTTAAAGCGTTGAAAAATATTAGTAGGTAAGATACTCTTAAGCCCAACAAGAGCAAATATAAAATGTCCCAAAGCCCCACCTAGAATCAGTAGTTAGCAAAAGGGCTTCAAGGTTCGTTCATGAATTAGCGGTGTTGGGGCAGCAGGGCTTAGTGTTGAGGAACTCTGCTTTGTCTGGCTCAGGGTTCACGGCACTACAATGCCCACACCTGCAGATGTGCCCCGCCAGGATAATCGTCGTCGTAGACGCACACCATCCATTCCTACAGCAGCGGCGGCTAGTCAAAAGCACCCAAGCCCTAAACCACTAAACCCTAACCTAAACACTGTACCCCAACTGGGGCTCAGGTTTTGGGGTCTAAGACTTTGGTCTTCGGCGACTACCACTGCTGCTACGACTCCGAGCCCGATCCCGAAGCCTGACCTCAACCCCCAAACCCACACCCAGAATGGACCCGACTTAAACCCAAAAGACCATCAACCCTGGAGCCTGAATCGAATTGTAAAGACCTCAGTGCTGTGCTGCAAGCCTAACCTTTAAACCCCAAAAACCAAAGAAACCTCAAATTGCACTCCAAAAGCTTGAATCCTAATTCCCCAGCCCCAACTCCCAAAATCTCACAGCCTGACTGCTTCCCCAACAAGCAGACTTGGCTTATCATGGCTTGATGCCATCAGTCCAATGCAAACCCTGCGAGATACTACTAGTCATCGTCCAGGCCGGTGCACGAACCCCAAACCCCAAACGCTACACCCCAAAAATTGAACCATGAACCTTAAACCAACTCGAAACCCTAAACCGACATCAGCCAAACTTCGAAGGGATCTCCGCAAGGGTTGTGAAGTCCTCCGAGGCGAGGCCAGGTTTGCAGGCTGTACATAGACCGGAGGGGTTTAGGAGTTCAGGGTTAAGGTTCAGAGTCCTAATGTGCAGGGATGTAGGGTCTAGGAGTTTAGGGCTTAAGGTTCAGAGTCTTCGGGCCCAGAGTTTAGGGCTTAGAGGGCTTAGGTTTAGGCCTGAAGGTTCCGGCTGAGGGGCGGCAGGGTTTGAAAGTCTTGCACTCTGCGAGAACGTTTGGTTAATTCCAAATCGGCCCAAATAGGGATCCCAATTCAGATAAGTCCTAAAACTCAAACAGCCTAGACCTTAAAACCCGGCTGTCTGTGGCTTAAACTCTGTGTTGTCGCTGATTCTGCGCGAGCAGTAACGATGAACAGGTGTAGGAATACATGGTTGTTCAAGGCGTTTGTGCCATAGAATTAAGACTACCCTAGGAAGAAGGCTCATGACTGCCTATAAAGCTCGTACAAAACGCACACAACGCCCATAAACCCTAGACCCTTAGCTTTAGCCCTACTCGACGACGAGAGCTTTGCTGACTCTATGAAGCTGCTCCAGACTCAAATTTCGCTGAAACTTGTGAAGACTCAAATTTCAAGCTCTGCAGCTGTGAGTCTTCCGGAATCCGAGCTCAGCTGACGCTTCCGAAGACTCCGATGCTCTTGAAGTCTCGAGCTTCACCGATGCTCTGAAGATTCTGAACACACGAGCTTTGCTGACGCTCTCAAGGCACGCAAAGGGCTGTGCTGAAGCATTGAAGCTGCTGAAGACCCGAGCTTGCAAACAAGGACAAAAAGCTCAAAAGGCACTAAACTGAACGAAAACCCGCACTGCTAGACAAGGACTGATGCATGTGAGAAAAGACGACCAAACCGCTCGAAAAAGACTAGCGAATTTGAGAACAAGGAGCAAGCCGCTCGAAAGGAACTAGAGCATTTGAGAGAAAGGAGCAACCTGCTCGAGAGGGACTGGCACATGTGACAGAAAGGAACAAACCACTCGAGAGGGACTAGAGCAGTTGACAGAAAGGAGCAAACCGCTCGAAAGGGACTAGAGCATTTGACAGAAAGGAGCAAACCGCTCGAAAGGGTCCAGGCCATTTGACGGAAAGGAACAAACCACTCGAGACGGACTAGAGCAATTGACAGAAGGCAGCAAACCGCTCGAAAGGCACAAGAGCATTTGACAGAAAGGAGCAAGCCGCTCGAAAGGGACTAGGGCATTTGACGGAAAGGAACAAACCACTCGAGAGGGACTAGAGGATTTGACAGAACGGAGCACACCGCTCGAAAGGGACCACAGTGTTTGACAGAAAGGAGCAAAGCGCTAGAAAGGTACTAGAGCGTCCGGAAGAAACTCGAGCTTCGGTGATTCCTCTGAATACTCAAGGTTTAGAGCTTCGCATTTCCTGAACCACCCTCGGCCTGCAAGGCCAAAGCCTAAAGCTTAAATCGAATATAGGGGTGTTACTAAGTTACTAGATAGACTAGGCTTTGGGTTATGTTTTGGTTTATGTACGAAGGAACACTAAGGGGCTTACTCATGATTCCAATTAGTCCGACCGCTGCGTTACGCCGCCCTTCTCGGGCCTGAGCAGTCAAGACCTCTGCCCTTGCAGACGAAGCTGAAGACTGGGAAGCTGATCCACCTAAAGTTTCGGGTGAAGGTGAAGGGCTTTGCAAGGATTTAGATTTCCTATTGCAGAAACCCCAAAGCCTTCCAATCTGGGACTTGGGGCTCGAAATTTGGGACTCAGTGTTGAAGGCTTAGGCATTGTGGCTTAAGGTTTTAATCCTTCATCGAGTTCAAAAGCAGGGGTCGAAACTAATGATTTAATATCATACGTCTTGGTCCTTTTCAGCATCAGCCATGCGCACCATCATCATTACGACATGCTATGCACTGCAAGCCTACTAAACCCAGGCAGTACCCTCTTCGAGAGCCTGTGACGCCGCATGTTTCGGTACGCCCTGCGTGCATCTCTGCTCTGCAGCCTCTACAAGCCACTCGGAATCCTCAGGCCTGACCCCTACGCCCTGCACGAACCCCTAATTGGACCCTTTAAGTTACCCAAAGCCTCTCCCGAAGCCTAAAAACCCTACTCGCATCAAGTGAAAAACTGCTGCACGCCCTAAGCTCTGAGGTGGCCACCAGCGCATTTTGATCACCGGCTCTTCGTGATCGCCGATTGGGAGCTGAAACAGCTCGGGCTCCATCTGGCAGCTCAGGCTGTTCGGATCTGCTCGGCGTGAGGTTTTGCTCAAAGAAAAAATGTTAGCGTAAAGTGTTCAGGTTGAGGCGTTTTAGGCCGTAGGATTTGTGTAACTTATGGGTGCAGTTTAGGGTTGAAATGGTGTGGGGCTTGGAGTGTGCCGTTCAGGTTTGGGCCTTGAGCGTGTGGGTTCAGGAATTGAGACGTCCCACGCACGATGCATGCTTCGGTGTGCAGTGTTCTTCGTGTTGGTTGATACCATAGCGTCATTACCTATTCGCCCAAAACGCTAAGAAATAACTGAAAGCTTCTGGCCAAGCAAATTTCTCAGTAAATCCTAAACTTTCAGCCTGGCTAGTATGCTAGAATGGCGTTCGACATACAAGTGCGCCCGGTGTCAACAGCATTGACCATTGGGTGTCAAGAGCTACGGCCACCGCCACAGCTGACACGACTACGACCGCGGCCACTACCACTACCACTACGACGACTACTACCACGACTACGACAACCACCACTACCCCCAACGACGGCCACACCCGCCACACCCACCACAGCCACCAAAAGAAATGGAACGGAACGAAGGTTCAGCGGCTTTGGCTTGGCACCGAAATCCAAATCGGCAGGCCAACCGGTGTGTGACAGGTTCCGGCATGCAGTGCTGCGCCCCAAACCCCAAAGGCACCAACACCCCGAATCCTGATAGAGAGACCTTAACAACAAAATTAGGATTATCAGGGACATTTCCGCTACAGTACGAAGTATGCACATCTAACTTCTTCGTTACACTCCCAAAGCCCAAGCAGCCTGGAACCCCAAAAAAACCCAAACCCTAAATCTCAAGCTGCTTCAGACTTCAAAGAGGCCAGCGGAACCCACTGGATCGACCTGGACCTTGCTGTGCAGGATTTAGCGGTTGGGGTGCAGGCGGAGTCTGGACCCAAACCACAATCTAAAACCGCCCGCAGCACTTCGATGTTTGACTTTGGAGTGTTCGGCTGTGGAGCATTCGTCGAAGGCTTCTCGCCTCAAAGGCCTATCTCGTCATACAGGGGCACAGACATCCTAGAAACCCTAAACTCGAGACGCGGCAACTCAACTCTACATCAAGGTGTTTTAAGGGGTGAGAGGTGAGAGGTCTTCCGGATTCGCCAAGCTTGAACCGTAGATCGGCTTGTGAGCTTTGGGTTCGAAGCTTACAAGGTCATTGTATGATTCGCTGCAGGCGTCTTGGTTGGAGGCACGTTGGTGAATTTTGGGTTGAGAGCGATTAAGGTCTGGATTCAGATTGCTTGACAATGGGGCGCCGACAATGTGTAAGCTGAAATTTTGCAAGGATGTCAAAGCTGAAGGCATGAGCACATAAGCCTTCGTGAGGTTGGGGGAGGTGTTAGGGATTGGGTTTGGGCTTCAGGGTTTTCTGCGCTTCTTTGCTTAAGGTGCTGGGCCTAGGTCAAGAGCAATACAAGAAGAAGCGAAGTTCAACACCCTACCCGGCAGCAGGTCCATAAGGGACTCACGGTCGAATAATCCAAAGGAGGATGATCTGGCACGAAACGACTTTTGACTTCTGCTGGTCGCAGACCCGTGTGGTTGGTTTCAGATCTCAGGTCCGGGTTGACACGCTTAAACGCAAGGATAAACACATCTGCAACTACACAAGCTACATACTCTCGAAATCCACGGCCAAAACCTCAAAGCTTACAAAGCACAGTGTTGATTGCTCAAGCTTAGACGCCTACGCCTGTTCTCATGGATCACATTCCGTGCCCTCTTTTTGTCTCTGATTTCGCACATAAATAGCCTGCCGACATCTGCTTCAGCCCGACGCCTCTATGCATACACGTCAGGTGCTGAAGATCGATTGCCATTCTCGGCTTGTGGCCGTGGGGACAACAGCGAGGACTTGGCAAAAGAACGTTGAAGAACGCTGCAGCCCTGGCTTCAAAAATGAGATCACGAGACGGGAAGGGCCTTGCCCCGTCCGGTCGCACATGCAAGCTTAGACATCTAAACCCGAACCCTCAATCCTACAGCCTCCAACTCTCGAAAACCCGAAACCGCGAAGCGAGTCCCGGAAGGAAGCAAAAAACCCTTACTGTACAGCTCTCGGTGGTGCATCTGTTGTAAACGCACCAGCATCCCGAAGCCTCTGCAGGCAAGCGGGACTAAGACAACCAAGCCCACAGGCACGTAGCCTACAGGGAAATTTCAAAAGTTAAACAAAAGAGTCGAATTCGTCGCACAGGAGTCCTCCCAGACATGCATTCCCCCAATGAGAATACCGAGAAGCTTACCCTGCGAAGAACGGCAGTTGCACCACTCATGAATAGGCCCCGAAAAAAAGCACATAAGCAAAAATTAGGATAGGGATATCCTATATAAACCCCCTTTATAATGAAGCCCAATATGGTAGGGATATCCATATAAAATGCTTATACTTATGCTTATGTGCTTTTGGGGTCCACTCTAAAGGTAGCGGTCGTCGTCGTCCTCGTCGTGCTAAGTGGCACTGGAAGTGCCAACGGCAGCTGTAGTGGTGGTGGCAGTGGTGGCAGGAGTAGAGGAGCAGGTGCTGCAGCAGCGATGGTTTCCACTCGAAGACCAGCATACGGGCATCATCATGCTTGCAACGGTAGTGGCAAGGAGCAGAACCGCAATACCTTGTCCAATATCTTCCCCCCTACCATCATTGTCATCATCAGCATCATCATCATCAACAACAACAGCGGCAACAGCCTCTTCGTTGACCTGCCTACGGCGTGAACAATCGTCGTTTGGCGTCATCACTACGCCCATCATCGTCCTTCTATCTTTGCCATGAGCATGCCTCTAGCTTTATACCTCCGACAGCAACAGCAACAACCCCACCATAGCAGGTCAGCAAAACATCGAGAAATGGCCGAGGGCAACATATGAAGCAAACAATGGCTCCGTATCTTCTTTGGGCAGGGGAGTGACCCTAAACCTTGGAGGCCTCCGACCCTCAAGACTCTCAGCGTGGGATCCAATTCACCAGACCGGCCAGGGCCAGCCAGAAGGCAGGCAAGAACCTCCGGAGCATCGGGGCACAGAGAGACGTAGCCACTGGGGCTCAGGGTTTTAGGATTTAGGATTGATGGCCTACATGCTCTTCATTATGCCACCCTGGACCTGTAACAGCGAAGAATGGCCCATCGCAGGCAGTCGCGGGAGCGCGCGACTTCGAGTGGCGGCACAGGACTGGATCGCGCGAGTCTCACTCCAAAATACGCACGGCACCGCATCTCCGTTTTGGGAGGCGGAAGCTGACGGGACTGTAGCCACAAAACGATGCGCACCTCAGAACACGCGTGGCACTGCCTCAACTTTAAGTTCAGGACCACACGAAGGAGCCTGTAAGAATCGAATGGTGTGGCCATGCAGGACTTTAGCGACCTGGAGCGGTTGGAAACCCCAACATGCGCACGTGACTTTGACAGGACCTCAACTTCCACCCAAAACCACCCCGAAACCCTGAACCCCCAACGCATCAAGATCAGGAACGCCGAGGTGCGGGACTGTGGAACTCGATTTTGCACCATGCAAGAGCGGGAGCCGCGGAGAGTCGCCGCACGCGCGCATACTATCGCATGATGTAGACCCCTGATTCATGAAACCTCCTGCCTCGGAACGGAATATGGTTGCATAGGGATCCTAGTGTTAGAGAAGTTCATAAAAGGTGCTTCACTAATCAGGGGTCTACATTACCCTTCACACTGAACAGAAGAAACCCAAGCAGCTATTGCCAACTACACGGGAAACACAAAAAGCTATTTACATAGGGGCCTGTCAACATTGGTATCTCCCAAGCAACCTTGATTTACATCGGCCAACACATCTATCCCAGACCGACCGAAGGATGTGTACTACTAAAGTTACTAAAGGTCTGGGATAGTGTACCTGTCAATTTTGCAAGGGACGGGACGGAGCAACCCCGAGCTGTGGTTCGTTCTTTCGAGCTTCAGGGTTCTGTTCTGGATTGCTTGAAGGTACCGCATCTGTGGACCTATACAGGTGTAAGGCCTTGGTAGCGAACCTTTGAAGCAGCTGCTTATCCCAGGAGGTTAACGAATGCCGGGCTCAGAGTTTGAGGGCTTGGGGTTCAGGGTATGGGGGTTGAGGGCTCGGAGATTTCGGTTCAGAGTGCTTAGGGTACAGGGATTTAGGCAAGCAACCTCTGGGCAATTTTTTGTTGCTACTCAAGCTTTCTACTTGGTATACTCTGTCAGAAAAAGTTTCTGACCCCAGGTGCCCAACCAAACTAGGGGGTTGAGAGCATCGGATTTAGGTGTAGGTCGGTGGTAGTACTATCAGACTATCATCTTCTAGCACCGCTATAATCGTTCCATACCACACCCCAACACCCTGTTCTGATCCTCGGGGCCCCGAGATCCAACCCTGAGTCCGAATACCAGAGGAAGTCCCAGTGGAGCCCTTGAAGGATGAAGGAACCTGAAGCAAAGCTGCAGACCCTGGGGAGCCCTGGAAAGACCCTGTGCTTCGGGATCAAGCCAAGATGCAGGGGCGAAGCAGCAGACAGCTCTTCGTTGCGGCGCGCAGGTGCCGAAACATTCACAATCCTCGCGAGGGTTCGGACGGCTTGGGGTTTTGTGTTGAAAGTGGCCTTTAAGGCTACGTCGCGACAACAATCCCCAAGCCCGGTGAGAAAAAACCAAGCCTGTGATCTTCTGACCTTTTGGCCCGCTTGGGGATTCATGGTCAAGGAACAAAGACAACAGTCTCGGGCAAGGAAGACACACAACAACTTGGGATCGAGAGGTTGGAACCAAGAGCACTTGCTGTATGCTTCCGCTTCCATGTCTGTGCCGTCAACTCGCAGCAGTAGTAGTAATGGCCGTCGTCACCGTCGTAGTGACAATAAGACGGTGGATGGAGGAAATCTTGCACCACCCAGACCCTGAGGCATGGAAACGCCCGTCACCAGGCCCCCGCACTCCCTGTTTAACGCTGACCAAAGTCTGCCACGTGGCTGGTGCAAGTTTTTTTGCCCCTGGAGACCACGGCCCTTCCCAGGATTGGACGTCAATGTTAAACAGGGGGCACGGGGTACTCTCCTTGTTGGTCTATTCGAACTGGTGCAAGAGTCCCTCCATCCACCGTACTTGTCTTGTCAGCATTGTCAAATCGAGATATGGACTAGCTTCTAGGAGTGGGTATCCTTTTGGAGCTGTGTGCTTGCAAAGGCTGTTGAAAAGTTCCCTGAAGGACTTTCCCTATGCTCATAGCGCGCAGACTCGATCTGCTTTGTTGACTAAGCAGGAATAGCGAGATTTTGTACCTTTTAACACTCAGTTAACACGAGTTAACACTGAGAACGGAACAAGCCTCAATGTTATTGCTCTTAATGTTTGTAGTTTTGCAGCATTTCGACAATGTTAACTGTAGTGTTAACTGTGGTGTTACCTGTAGTGTTAATTCAGCATGAACTGAGTGTTTTCTGTGCAACACATAGAAACAGCTTATATGCCATGTTGCTGCGCAGAGCCGCACTTGAAATCTGGTCAAACTACTAACAGGGATCCTGCGGTAGCAATCGCACTGATCTGTAATGTGAGTAGTGGTAGCAGTGACTGGTACTGGTCAAAGCAGTATTGGTGGGTGCATCAGCAGTAGAAAGGAAGCGAAGGAAGCTGCGGTGGTGGTAAGCAGCGGCAGCAGCAGCGGCTGTGCAATCGTAGCACTGGCCGTCCTTGTCGTCAACGTCTTCGCCATGGTCGTTGTCACAGTTGAACGATCGTGTGAAGTTCAGGGATTCAGGAGCCGTCAAGACGCCGTCTACAGTGTTGAACTCGAAAAGCCCAATCCTTTAGTGCTTCTCTACTCCTTGGTCTTAGGACCTTAGACTTTGGAGT